ATGAACACAAATGACTCGGTGATTTAAACTAGTTTAAAGCCAAACAGGAGAAACGCTGTGTGCAACGAGACAGTCAGAAGGCTTTTCAATCTACACATTGCCATCATTTACCATGGATTTACTGTAGTAACACTCACTGCACCATGGTATTGTGACAGAAATTTGGGATGTTCACACTGAATTTTATTAAAGGAGTAATGGTATATAATTATAGTATGTATTTGTGATTATGGTCAGAATAAATGTAACCATATAAAACTGAGGTTGCTACAATTTTTACAGATGTTACTGATTTTGATAATGAACAAAAATGTACCTCTGCCTCCTAACTCATGCTACTATCAGATGTGCATTTCTAAGAGACAAAAAAGTGATATTATTATTAATATTATCAGGCAACCCAAACCTGTTTCTTGATTTGAAACAATATCACTCATTAGAACATGCAGAAACTAAGAAATTAATTTTTCTATTCAGATATTTATTTTGTTACGGAAAATTAATGGTCGTGTTTCTATAAATTTCACTTTGGAGCAAAAATCTGGCTTTAAACTTGAAAGAAATAAAGATTTGACATTTATAGTGATAATTATCGATATCGACTGATATGAAAAAAATTATCGTGATAATTTTTTTGGCCATATCGCCCAGCCCTAGTTTATATTTTGGAAACCCTTTTATGAAACTCAAGCAGAATAAAGTCAGTAAATCAACAAATTGTATGCAAACCGTTACATTCAATGCAATAATTTAAGTTTTTATGAGCCATTTACTCAAATCTGTGCTGCTTATGTTTCATGAATGAAGAATGTATTTTTAAATTAACAAAGATAAATTGTTAATTAAAGGGATAGTTCATCTAAACATTGTGTCATAATGTACTCACTCTCCACTTGATCCAAACATTTGGGAGTTTCTTTTCTCTGTTTTACACAAAAGATGATATTTCGAAGAATGGTAGTAACCAAAAAACTGACGGTGCCCATTGACTTCCATATAAGGAAAAAATACAATGGCTACCATCAACTGTTTGGTTACCAACATTCTTCAAAATATCCTATTTTTGTGTTCAACAATAAAAGAAACTCATACAGGTTTGGAACAAGTGGAGAGTGAGTAAATTATGACAATTGTAATTTTTGGGTGAACTGTCCCTTTAATTCAAGTATCAGAGAAATGCTGGTATCTAACTTGTGAATATTTTGTTCTATAACTGTTGTGTTGTAGTATCATTCAGTCCCGTCAGACTTCAAGTGAATAGCCCTTTAGAATTTTCTGACATAACCTCAAACTCATTTTACAACAGTTAAACATTTGGACTACTAAGCAAACAATAGTAGTATGCATATATTTTCACTTTTAAAGACAAGCATTATATTTACTTTCATGCAATCAACACATGACACAACTCTCACTCTCAGGCAGTGTGTTAGTGTGGACACTTACATAATTGTCTCTGGCAGACCATCCTGGGTAAAGTTGCATATGGAGCTGCCGTTCCTTACTGACATGCACTTTTAAGTTCCTTCCAAAGAGACGCGTGCTTGCATTTGGCTAAAAATCCTTGTTAACTCTCAAACGTTGCGTGTGTGTGCGGGTAAATGTGTGCGAGTGCATGTGCACGCGTGCCTGGGGGTGGAATGGAACATGATGAAGAGATTAACATATGCAGCGATGAGAGAAAGGAAGAGGAAAAAAACAAGAAACTTTGATTTCATATCAAAACACTGGTTCCAATTTAGCGGCGCTTTACTTCAAACCATGTCAGGGTGCAATTACCCCACACTGCCGCAAAACGGTCCTTTACTGTGGCTAGCCGCCTCAAACCGCAGAGGCTTTGGTTAAAGCATTAAATATGTTTAACGATACTCTTTTTCCAATTCCAAAATGGAGCGTTAAAGACGCTACCTGACCAGATTTCTGAGCTGTCAGCTTGTGTGTTGGTGTACTTGTAAAATTGAGTTAGACAGAAGTGCTAACTACAATAGACCCCTTTGTGAAGGAGGTCACATGGTGCGAGAGACCCGCGAATCAGATACGTACCCTCCGCCCGAGGATCTGATTGATCGCGGCGCTCTCCTTCAGCGTGCATTCGGCCACCACATTGGCACGCATCTCTTTCATATACAGCATGAAAGCGTTTAGAGGTTTCTTAATGTGAGGTCTTTTGGGCTCCTGCTCCTTTCTCTGCTCGTGATGAGGTTTCCTGGAGAAACAAGAGGAGGAAAGAGTTAAAAAAAAGAGGGGGAAGAATTATTAAGTGATACAGGGAAATACAAAGGGGAAAAACGCTCAGAGGGTGGTGCGAAAGCGGCTGCCACAGCGACGCCATTGGAGTGTGAGAGCGCCAAATGCCTGATTCCAGCCGCCAATCGGAAGGCTGCATGAGAGAACAATCTGGGAGCCAGTGCCGAAAAGCTAGCAGCGGCTTTTAATTATGTCCAGTTGGGTGCTTTCATGCAAAGAGATTACTTCACCAGTAATGGCAACCAAACCTTCATATTCCCTCCAACTCTATGACTCCCAAGCCCTACAGCTCCCAGTATTTCACTCCCATTGGTGACCTGGCCCTGATACCTCAAGCCAGCTGCATGGCTCATAACGGTCAAAATTAAAAACTTTTTTAAATAAACATAACAAATTAAACATGCACAGATTAATGAATGATAAGATCTGTAATATGCATTTAGAAGATAGATAGAATGCATTTTTATTTAATGCCTAGTTGAAATGCACAACATTGTAATGTATGGTATGAAAAAAAAAAAAGATTTTCATTTTAAGATTTAGTAGATTGCATTTATTAGTATTATTAAACTAATTAATAATTAATTAATCATGTTAAATAATGGAAATGAGCACAAATAAATATACGATATCAGCCTATATATCTTATATTAACCATTACTAATAAATTGAAACAAAAATTCCCAAATAATGAAAGCAGGGTAAATATATTTGCTATGAGGGAACATAAACACATAGATTGCATTTTGAGCATGCTGTTGAATGCTAGCAGCTTACTAAATGGGATACTCACATGTGCATCAGGTCTGTGTCGTGATGTGGTTCGTGTTTCACCTGTGGGTTGACAATGGCGGGATGGGGGATTCCCGTGGCATGGGGTCCAGGAGGGCCTGGTACCATGTGATGAGAGAACCTGAGAGCAAAACATAATGTGTGTGGGTTAATGCATCATTCACTATCCACATTATTAGTTGTTATGGCTTAACCTTTTGAAGATTCATGCTAAACTAAATTAAATTAAATTAAATTAAATTAATACAATTGTCTTCGAGTTTTGTATGGCCTAATTGCCAATAAATAAATAAATAAATAAATAAAGGTCCAATACGTCTTCCCAATTCTTCTGGATATAATATAATATAATATAATATAATATAATAAATTTATGTAGCTAATTTTATTGTTTCAAATTTACACAAATAGCTCCAATACAACCTTATCTGCTGATAAGCACTCAAAACCATTCGTTTCACGCTTGTCAACCAAAAACGTTCTCTTAATTGTAACCGTTTGGCCATGTGTGCACTCACCATCCCAGCGGAGGGGTCATCTGTCCAACTCCCCCTGGGGAAAGAGGGTAGAAATTGGGAATGTCCGGTCCAGGATGATGCCTGGGCATACCTGCATCAGGATTCAAGAAGGAGCAAATGAGAAAACGACATCGGCGTGTGTTAGTGTGAGATAGACGCATCTGGAGAGCAGCAGTGTGGCATCACAGTCGGGCCCTACGGTCCGGTGCGGTGCATAAGCGGATCATGGGATAATTAGGAATGCTTTTGCGCTGTTCTAATAAGCCCTGCTGATATGATTCACGCTGCTTATGGATGTCAGTTGGCCTGCGGTACTAAGCTTCTCAACTTCACTCCAAACACACGCATGCACGCTCTCACATACACACATTTGCACCAAGGTCAAGACTGTGTTTGTGTATAAAGACTTAAATCGAGGAGGGAAAAAGTGAAGTAAGACCCTAGGGCTAAATTAAATTGTCAAAGGGGCGCCAGTGTACAACAACAAAGCCCAAGGGATATATACACACACACAGCAAGAACATGCAGTTTAAAAACAACCCCTGCATCTCCAACTCATCATTTTTCTCTCCATTGTTTCACATGGAGCAGTTTGGTTCAGAAAAGGACTAAAATGGGTATTGAATTACTGCGTTAACTACTGGCTAACATCATTTTCTCCTCCTGCGCAGCCTAGGTGACATCAGCGGAAAAGGGAGATCATTTCAGAGGCAGAGTCTGATGAAAGATTTCTAGACAAACATTAGTTTTTTCTTTGAAATAATATACACAGTAGAATCAGGAATGTGTATTTAAGTGGTAAACAGGGTCTATTTTGATTGTATGTCGACTTTCCACGCCAAGTGAGATGACTGAATCATGAAACACCTGAAAAAAGATCTTGAAAAGGCTACTCTCTCACAAGTGTATTATTTTCAACCCCGCCCTCAGCGTATTATGTCTGATGAATAAGTGACTCCATGTTTGTGTTTGTGTATGAAAACAGAGCAAGCTTTGGATCATTGGCCAATCTGCTCGTGGCGTGCGGCCTCATTCAGGCTATTTATAGCTCTCCAGACCTCCTCCGCTTCATCACATCCTGTCTGCCCGCTCCCTCGCCGGTCGCCACAGAGGTGAGTGTTAGCCGGAAGGAGCACATATGGAGTTGGGTTCGCATGCAACAACGCCTGCCAAAAACCTCTCCGCCCCTTTTAAACTTTAACCCCACCTCTTTTAACTGACTTGAGGGAAATAAGATTCTAGTGAGAATGAGCTGTTAGCTTATTAAGTGTAAGAATATAGTTAATGTCTCTTTGGATCAGTGATAATAGAGAAAGAGTGCTTAAAAACACAAGGAAATAACATTACAAACATACACATAAAAAGGAAAAGTTCACCAAAAATAAACATTCTGCCAGCCTCATGTCTATCTAAACCGGCATTTATTTCTTCTGTGGAACACAAAAGAATATATTTCGGAGAATGTTGGTAACCAACCAATTTTGGTCACCATTGACTTCTATTGTATTGGCAAAAAACACTGACATTTCTCAAAATATATTATATTATGTTTCACAGAAGAAAGTCATACAGGTTTGGAAAGACATGTGGGTGTATTAAAATGACAGATTTGTAATTTTTGGGTGAAAAAATGAAAATGCCCCTTTAAGGGACAACATGAAAATACATTTTGACCCATACTGTATCTGGTTTCCATTTGTCTTTATAATATTTATTAAATTTAATATATATATATATATATATTTTTTTTTTAAAGTAATAACTTCCTCTCTGCCTATCTGTAAACTATCTGTTTTCTGACCAATGGCAGTGTCTATAAGTCATTGTGATTTTAAATGACATTAATAGTTTGCAATGAACAGTAGTGTATTTGTGCAGTTTGCATGCGTTTACCTTGCTTGGAGTTGATGTCCTGTGGGTGGTGTCCCGAGTGTGGGCCAGGGGCGAAGTGCTCGTCGCTGTATGTGATCAGAGGGGTGAGGGGGTGAACGGCATGGGACGGCTGGACCACCGGCACCTTATTTGACTGCAAAACACAGAGGGAAAAACTGATATTGTAACAACATCAAACGTGACCGAGGCATTCAGACTCAGAACAAATGGGCAACGAGCCACCAAAGTTGAGCACCTCACCAGTGATGATGTGTGGATTGTGTACTGCAGGATTTTGGGGCAGAACCAAATGAATAAAGAAGGGGGTTGGGAGAAACATGGCCAGAGAGGCAGGTGTAGGGTGCCATTTCCTCGGCAGACGTACTGCTGTAAAACCACGGGGCGGGAGGAGTGTGTGTGAGTGCGCTTGGGAGGGGGCGTTATTTCGGAGTCTCCCAGACACAGGACAGAAGCCGAGAGGGAGGACGATGATATGAATGTCATTCTCTGGAAAGATCTGAGCTTTGATAACTTTCAACAACACTCGGAGTTCCAAACACATCAGAAACGACAAAAGCATTTTGGGGATTCTTGAGAGTGAGCTGATGATATACAATTGTATATTTCCGTATTGCTAAATGCTTTCAAAATGTAGGACATGCTCCTGGATTCTTTGTTGGTTCTGGAAAAACAAACATAGTCCTCCTAACCCTATCCCTACCCCAAACCCTATAAACCCAAAGCAAATGTTCGGTTGATAATGTTTTTCAAACCCCAAGCCCTAAGCGAATCCCTAAAATATGCTGGGAATGTTGTTCCAAGACCAACAAGGATGTTGTTCCAAGAGCATGTCATATTTGGCTAAATCAAGTAGGGGTGTAGCAACTATTATAATTAACCACTTTCCAAAGGTTATTCCACCCTGCTTTTTGGGTAATAATAACTTAAACATATATGTTTTAAAAACTTCAGTGCAAAGGAAACAAATTGCATCCAGCTGAAATATTCGTTTTGAGACCAAGAACAAGCCTCAACCGGTCACATCTGCAGTCAATCGGACAAACTCACAGTTGGTACTGGGCGAACATTATATGCCTAATTAATATTCATGAGTCATACTGACAAGAATTATGATGGGTCAGATTCTGTGCCACAGAAATGTTGACCGATGCCGATGGGAAGGCCGATGATTATTTGTATGAAAATACCTGTAATCAATGATGGATGATATTAAAAGTCTATATGACCAAGTGAAATCCCATGCTTCAAATGAAACTGGGCATAAAAAAATTAATAAAAAATAAACAATAATAATAATCTCATTTGATGTTTTACAAAGCAATAAAACAAAACAAAAAACAAACAAAAAAATAAATCCATTGCTGTTGTATACAGAAAAAACTATATTAATAAATTAAAAACAATAATAAAACATCTTCATATACAGTGGGTACGGAAAGTATTCAGACCCCCTTAAATTTTTCACTCTTTGTTATATTGCAGCCATTTGCCCACTAAATTAGCCTGTTAATAGTTCAGTCCAGTATGTGGTTTAAATATGGTTCAACTCTTGGTCAGAGATGATGGCTAATCTGGACGAGTAGTTTTAAATAGGATCTTATCCTACCTTAAGGAAACCTTATCCCTGACTCGGCCTCATTACTAATATGTGACTGGGGGGCAGTAGCTACTGAGAAAGGCCCTCACTGGAAGACTGCATGATATCATCCTTACCCCCTCTTCATTTTACGCCTCTCAGCTCTTATTGGCTTTTCCTCTGGGAGAGAGATAAGAGGCAGGCATATTTTTCATTTAAGCCCCTAGTCTCTGTCTCCAAGTAAAGGAGAAAAAGAGATACAGAGGAGTGGAGGAAGAACTTAAAACAGTTCGAGTTAAGGAGTCCACGCAAGCATCGTACAAAAGACACCACGACTCTCCGGTACGTCAATACGGGGTCCTCGACTTATGGCAGCCATGAAAAGTGGGAGTTGGCACTTTGCGTTCCACCTTATTCGATCGGGGCTTCTTTTAGGTCCTCTCAGTTGCAGCTGTCAGAGCCCATTTCTCTCAACTTCTTAATAAACTGCCATCTCGGTGCATTGCATGAAGCTAAAATTCCAGCAGGAAACTTCGAGACTGCCATGCCAATTTGCAGGGGCCCCCCGAGGCACAACCTTGAAAAAATCATTTGCCTTTCCGGAATAAGGCAAAAGAAATAAAATGCCAAATTTAAAATACATTCAGCTTTCCAAAAATGTGGTTGCCTTTAATAAACGAAGAGAGGGTTTGGTGCTTTTGGCTTTCCGTGGTTTTAAATAAAAGTCACGCAGGGTGATTCACCGCCACTCAAGGCCATTCAAATCCTTCCCGGTGGTTTGAGATCACAGGCTACGCCACCCCGTTCCCAACCCGGCTCAATGGCGTATTAAACTAAAAACACTTGCGGTCAACCCGACCAGGAAGTGGCCGGACACCCCAGCTGACCACAGGAACCCGGGCCGGATGGTGCCATGGCGATTTATCCCCAAGGATCTCGGAGTTTTCACAGGACAGGGCGGCAGGATATAGCACGGACCTACCTCCCCACGCTCTCTCTTTTATTTTGAAGAAAAATAATAGGCTTAGGTCTTTCTATTCATATTTGCAGAGAGGCGGTGCCGATTGAAAAGAAAGTCCATTTAGGATTTTATAAGCAGGTCTGGCCAAGCCTGCTTTAAGAGCCCCTCAGATGTGGTTTTAAAAGAAATTTCATTGTGCAGAACTCAAGCTGGCTGAGGGCCTGCAGAAAATCCAGAGGAAAGAGGGAAAAGCCAGAGTTCAGGAATTTGGGAGTTGGGAGACAAAATGGACAACGTTCAGCTCAACCCTCTCCAAGAAAGCAGCGCTACTTCAACCAATCAGCACGAAACGCTGAAGACTAATGCCCAGCTGGTAACCCTTTTCTCTGAATTTTCCCAGAATGAGTTTTATCATACAGACATGACGTTCCTAACCCAAAACCAGCTCTGTTAGCAAAGCACCCTTTGCTCTCCTTCCCAAAACCATCCCAGGCTCATTGGTAAATTGTGCCTGTGATGACACTTCTGCAAAATTATATTACGTTGCTTCTTGCACGTATAGGGCCCTATGATTTCCGTGATGCGGAAAACGTGCACTGAATCGCGGAATCCAGTCATAAAAAGAATTTACTGTATAACGTGAAATGTCACGGAATTAAAATTTTTTTAGATGAATAAATCAAAAGTAGGTCCATACACTTAGATCAAAATGTGTTATAGACTAGTGTCTGTGAATATTAAGCCGCAAAATACTATTTAAATATGAATCTGCATGTTTCTGTGTGAATGAATGGCGCAGATGCACGGTTTCGCACATAAACATGATCTCTAGAACTGCTCTGAGAGTCACTTCATGAGCATTTTACCATTTCTTGTGAATCATATCATATAAACAGAGAAACTTAAAGGTCTTCACAACAACCCATCAAAATACCAGTTTGGTTTAACTTGAAGAAACTGAAAGAATTTGGTAAAAAATAAACATAAATTTGAGAAGAAAATAAAATATATTTCATAGGGCTGTAAAAATTTTATTTTTGTTAAACTTTCAATAAACTGCTGTTAAATTGTGTATGTTTAATGATTTCAATTAACTAGACATTCTTTTTGATGAATAAAACGTAAGTTAACAATTAAAACAGAGTCTAGAAAAAATAAAATGGAAAAAAATGGAATTTGGGGTAAAAAAAATATTTGGGAAAAAATCAAATGGATTTCATAGGGGCCTATACACGTAATATTTTGTGGAAAGTTCTACTTTAAAAGTGAAATGTCCAGTGAATGGCACTAAAAGCATTTTATCTTAAGTTGATATATGTGAATCTGGCTACATTTCATAACATTGGTGGTTGGGTGTATCGCAGCAGTTCAGAAATGAAATGGTGAGTGGCACTTAAAAGCTTAATGCTCTAACTTGTTAGAAAATGACATACCGCCTACACTAAACCTAACTAATAGTGTTAACAAAAGAAAATGTAAGATAAAGAAACCATGATATTTTAGCCTGCTTCTACGATTGTTTGAGTTCTTTTATTATGACTTGTGTTTCACAAGATTCATACCCTAGCATTTCGCGTCGCAAATGCAATGCTGTACCAGGTGCGCTACCGAGCAAGTTTACTACGTCAGAAAAGCCATACATATGGAACGGAGTATTTGATGCAAACGTGTATTCGTTTTTGTATAAGTTTACAAATCATGCACTATGGCCAAATTGTTTTGAGGTTATAATAGTATTGTACGAGGAACTATGCTAAAATAAGCCGTTATTAAAAGTTGTTGATATTTTATTGCCACTAGTGTTTATTCGAGATGAAAACTGCAGTAAATTTTATGTGTAGACACAATTTTGGAGTTTTGCAAAAATGTAGGTAGAGTTGCATATTTCCAATTAGCTTATGTTGCCCAAAACATTGCGAATGTTACCAACAAGCGTTTTCTTCGCACCACCAGCCCTTTGTCCTCCACTCAATTATCTCATTTCCATGGTATTGGGGGGGACAGGGGGGGTTTATAATAATCGCTTCCCTCTACTGTAATTTATATGCAATGAGGACTCCTCATGCCCGCGGCTACAATAAAGCGGCTGTGTGAAAGAGCGAGAGGTGTTTTGCAAACATACGAGGAGTTGGCAACTTAAGTGCTAACGACAGATTGCCATACAGCTACAAATCTAGGTGAAATCCATTCACACTGTTTATCTACGAGAGAGAGAGAGAAAGAGAGAGATGCCTACACATGAATAAAAGCAAATTAAAGAGTAAATGCATGGGCAGGTAGGTTCAAACAAGTCAGGTTGTTCTCAGTTCAGTACTCCACACTAAGCATTTATGGCATAATGACGATCACCACAGAACATTTAAAATAATCCTTTGTTTTTACAAAGCAGTAGTTGAAATATTGCATATAACTTTGCCAAGGTCAGTAAGTGATTCTGTCACATCTCTTAGTCTCATCTAGTCTATGTCAGCATTACGCTCAAGTCTTTTGGCTATACTTTGGATACGGTGTTTGTTTTAGTAATACAAAGAGGAATGAGTTCAAATTATTTTCTGCAGTAAACTGACATTGGCATAAATGCAACATATTTAACATT